TGTTTTAGGACTCATGAATTTTTTAGGTATGGAGCTTCTCGTGAATGAGCGTGTATTTTGAAATAATTAATACGACAGAGGATGAGATTATGAAGATCTAGGGGAAGTTCTTCAAGTCCTTTCAGTCCAACATTTATAACTTGTACCGAGCATGAAACTAAACGAAAAATTTCGTGAGGGCAGACTTATATTTTCCCATAAATTGATGAACCTTGGATTCGCCACGAGTCTCAACCTCGAGGTTATTTTAGAAATTAAAATATTAAACATGTCTAGGCTTGAGAGAATACGGTTTGTACTCGTATGTGAAACACGAACTAGTTACCAGTGTCTTCAGTTTGTCGCGAATGTTCGAATCCGTATTAGAAACAGAAAAATTTTATAACACATATGTACCTACTGCCTTTGTTTATTAATTGTTCGAGATTTGTTGTTTAACTAATTATTTTTGCTATGTTTTATACATATGTGTATTCGTCTGTCAAAAAGGGTACATCATACAAAGCTGCGTTGTTTTATGGTGACTAAAAAGTTTTTTTTTTTATTTTTACTGACATCAGAATGAGAATGAAAAGCTATTTGCTTTTTACCAATTCTCTATTCGATGAAATTTTGGGGGTTGGAACCCAGCATTCGAATAGCTCCTGCTTTATAAAATTTGACTAACGAACGATCAAATGCATTAATTTTTTAAGTCATCAGCAAAATTTGAAATTTTCGTGCGTACTTAATTTTTTCCAATATTTGGTATTTCTAGTTTAGTTAGCACGACTGTAACAGTTGCGGTAATAATCCGTTTTAAAAATCGTGCCGCTTTGTTGTGTATGCTATAATTCTAAATTTATATGACGAAATTTTTCATGAATTTAAGTAGTGTTTGTCAACTGAAAGCGTTGATACTACTAAATAATGTGTTCAAGACTATTTTAACTTGGCGAACACCGCTTTGTATCTGCACTACAGAAGTAAAAGAAAAGTAATAAGTGAAGCAATATTTTATTTTACTGGAAACGACATTTTCTTGTTGTTTCATTAAGACAAATTTATTTTATTTTTTAGAAAGCATTCTAATTAGAGTTTTTTTTTGTACGTAAAGATATATAATTCTTGTTAAAAATAGAAAATAGTGGAGTTGTATACTAACAGATATATATGTACAACATCGATTCATATGGCTGCAATAACGTATTTCTTGTTTCAAGATTTTTAACTTCTGAAGTGAAGAATACATATTGCTATCTAATTCACGTTTAGCCCAGAGCATATAAAACACAAGAGAAATGAACGATGCACTTTATGTACTCTATTTATTTGTGGTACTCTAAATTTGTTCAATAAACCTTATCTTAATTATGGAAAGTGAAGTTGAAACAACACGAAAATTTTGTAACTTCTGCAATAACAACAACGCGCTATAAAAATGATTAACAATTTTGGAATATGTTCTTTTGCAAATGTACGTTAAGTTTCTTTAAAACTATTTTTGGAATAATTGTATTTAGGAAACACAATTTCAACAATGCTAAAACATGCACTTTCGAATAAACTCGATAGTTAAATACAGTTAAAGATATGGAAGTATCAAATCCATAATTCTTAATAGATTACACTTACCCCTGATGCGTTCCATCATTTATTTGTTATAATATGTTATCTTTTAACTTTAAATTTTCATGGAAATTAAACCATTCATTTCCTGATATGTATTTTAAATTTTTGGGTGTCCAATAATACCATAGCGAAAAGCAATTTACGTAAACTGAGGAACTTGGAAGTTACTGTAACAAACTGAATATCTAGTTGTTTATGCAAAATTCCGTCTATATAAACTGGTACTAATATTTACAGATTACAGGGGCCCAAATTTTTCTTCCCATATTGTGTTTTAGAAACTGTCTTCGCAAGTTATTTTTTCCTAGGTAAAATGCTAGTTAATAGTGTTTCACATTGCACTGCTTTGGTAGACTTAGTATAAACTTGATTCATTGCTCGTTAACTTCAAAGAAAAATTGAAAAAATTTGCCAGTAAGTGTTTTAGTTCATCCGGCAAAGCTGATTTTTCAGTGACGTGATTTGTGTAAATATACAATACACACCCAAAAATTAAAACAACGACGTTTTTCTTGCCGTATCATTCTTTTTGCAAAGAATAGAGAAAAGTTTGAATTTGATTAGAAAGTTTTTATTGGTGTTCGTCTAATTTATGATTGACATATTGTGAATCCGCCTATACCACACACAAACAGGAAACTGAAAAGGATCTTTGTATTCAATAAATAACAATAAACATTTAAAGTGAAACTTAGATACGCTAAACAACTTCATTGCTCAATAATCGTAAAATACAAATACCTTTACAACGGTTAATTATTGAAAACCGCGCCCATTTTTTAGAGAAGTTGGACACTTACCATTGTAATAAAATACAGAATAGGTCATGACACGACTTTTGACCCAGGATCAATTGTAGTGGACCATTAAGAAAAACTCGATTTCTAATACTGATTGACAAATTTCAAGTGATAATTAATTTGCATTTTTGTATGTAAACGTTTATTTTTCAACAACAGTCTCGGTGTTTTTGACTTAAACCTATCATAGTGACGAAATGCAAAATATAAACATTGTTAACTTTTGCGAAATAACCTGAAATTTATTTATACTCTTCCTTGGTTATTTTAACGTAGTACTACGTTAGTGCCACTAATGGGTAAAAACTTAAAAACGATAAAGTAACATTTAAGTTATTTATATTTTAAAGTGTTTAAATTTAGGAAAAAGTCAAAAGTCATCAAAAAAAAAAGAAGAAATCGTAGTAACAAAATAGTATTTATTTATTTTACATTGTGTAAAATTAATTAAACTAATGATGCTCCATATTGGGAAAACAAGTAAAATAGTCTCGAGGAGTAAAAAAATGTTTCTGAAAGCCTGCGAAACCAAATCCTCTTGTTACATCTCCGGACATATCATTCCGGTCTTATAAATATCCGGTAAGATTTGATTAAGTTCAACATTCCAGCTTCACCGGAAGCTGTTAGAACGTTTGCGCCTTTTTTTGATAACTTGAAATAGTTACGATTGAGTGGTGACGAATAAAAAGGCTCGGAAACCACCACATAATTACTCAGATGCTATTTAGTTTGCCAGGTTTCCAGGATGTTGTGGTTACCTTGATTCACCTGTTACCTATTGGTAAAGCATGTAAACCTTGTGAGAATTAAAATTAACTTAACGATATCGTTTAGCCTTCACTAATATGAACTATCATCACATTTAGAGTGTGAATCATGTTATGGGTTAATACCCTCTACTGTGGAATCCCCATAAAACCATGTTCAACTGCCCATTTGAAACTAGGAACTGTGGAAGTTTTCGCCGGTTTAATGATGTTAACAAAAATGAAACTGATATACCTACGCTCCTTTTAGTGTTTTACACTATCACCTCGATTCCTCATGTATCTATAGCTTAAGGCCTTTTATATAAATCAAATTTTAACTTTCGGTAATTAGCAATCGATTTTTAATCTATGATGGGTTAGTAAATAAATGGCACTTTAACCAAGTTGAGCTTAAATCTTAATATCGCTCAAAAAGCTTTAAGCGTTATTTTTTTATTGCCAACATAACAATATGAAAAATGATTTATTTTCTGTTCAATTTTTACTTCCTAGTGACAGCTGTGACAAGATATTTTGACAAATGTTCATTTTACTTGCAGTTTCAGCTTGTAGAAGACGAAAATGTACCTTTCTTTTTTCCGTTATCTCTCTGTCTGAGGGTTGAAATTAAAAAAAAAATCGAAACCACGGTAAACCTATCTATTTTCGGTCCCTATAGACATTATCTCAAAATATTGTTAAATATCAGCCAGCATATCTCTACTTGCGGTTTACCAAGCTATCCTTATTTTTAACTTTACATTACACGAATTATTCTAAAAAGATTCGATATTTTAGAATGTCACAACACTGAAATCTATTTATTCTTCTTTCCCAAATCATGACTCAGGGGCCAATTCCAAGTTGGTGGCGCAAGTCACTGGTGCAGCGCAACTTTATAATGCTAATTTGGGTATCAAATGCTGGTTGCTAGGGGTGACGGAATCAACAAACGCAGTTTTGTCGAATTTTCCATTGAAATTTGCACCATGGAGTTGCGGCACCTCTAGTAGGCAGTGCAAGTTGGCGCAATTTATCTCGAAAAATTGCGCTTGTTTATTCCGTCACCCCTAGCAACCAGCATTTGATACCCAAATTAGCATTATAAAGTTGCGCTGCACCAGTGACTTGCGCCACCAACTTGGAATTGGCCCCTTAGTCTTAAAATGCTATTTTAAAGAACTTCAACAGTAGAGGGGGAAGCTATGTGAAAATAACTCTGAATTGTCTTCTGTGTTTTAGTTGTATGCAGAATACAACTATAATTTCTTCTTGTTGGTGTGTTTCCGATATGTATGCAAACATAATTTTTTTGATTCGTCATGTTAGTATGAAGTTTTTTTTTTTATTTTTTTATTTTCGATTTTGAGAGTATGGAAGAATAGAACATAAATTCCTTTTATTATTTCAAATTATCTTAACACATTTAATTTGTTCCTTAACGCGAAGAGTCAACGGAAAATTGCGTTTAGCTTCACTCATACTAAACCAAAACTCCTCTCTTTGTGCAACACATTAATATGCACTTTTCCACATTTACTCTTAAAAAACTGAAACACATTTTCAAATTCAAAAACAAAATAACACTGTGTTCATTCAACAAACGACATACTTCGAATTAATCTATGAATCCGCTTTGCATGATAACACTTAAACGCAAATCATTTAAAATGTTTGTTTCCGGTGACGACACTGTAAGTTAAATTATTATTAAATGCCGTCACGAACATTAGCCAACAGCGACTGCAGTCCACAAAAATAAAGTCATTCTAAAGCTGAGTTCAACTTAAATTGCGTTACGATAAGAAAGTAATTTTCAAAGCAAAGAGTAACATACCACGTGCACGCTGCTCTGAATGGATTCCTGCTTTCTGTCTTTGGTTTTGGGTACTCTTTTGGCTTTCGCGTCCAAAAACCGTTGTTTCAACTGGAGGGTATCCTGGAAGTTTTGTTCGCAGTGTTCGTTGAAAGCTTGACCGAACCGCGGCATACAGTCACTCTGTCTTTTTCTATAGTTTTCAATTCGCCTTCGAAGTCTGGAACAAAACAAAGACAAATTATCATTGGAATAATATAATCATAATAAGTGAAGGAAGTATTGTAATCAAGACTGTCGGCCGACTCCCTACTTTTACGTTTTCTCGATCTTTCATGACCCCTACAGTACGAAGAAATAGGTCTCCCGTTTCATGGTCTGTTTCTCTGCCGTCCCGCTAACCGAAATTTGTCTAGTCATCCCCACCAATAATGTGATGACGTCACTTCAAAATTGTACATAGTAATTGGGTTTTAATTTGTATCAAATAACATAGTCCTACACATGTAGTTTATGACGCAGTGTTGAGTTTTTACCCGAAACGTCCAGATTTTTGGAAAAAAATCTAAATTATAAAATAACATTTTGCAATTTAATTTTGAATCTGCAAAACCGAAGCTTTAAAATTTTGCAGATGTTTGCTTTGAAATCTTGGAGATGTTTTAAAGTTATCATAAGCATGGTCAATTTTTGATCAAAATGTATTTGCCTATCCCCCTAAAAAACTGATGACGTCCCCTCAAAATTTTGCTGAACAAATCCTATCTTAAATGTACAAAGTATGATGAGGCTATACTTGTGATTTATCAATGCATTAATATTTTTTAGATTTGCTTATACAGGGAGTCTTAAAAAAATTAACGACTGAGTCAATTTATTTTGTTTAATCAAGAATTGCAAAACTGAATACTTTGAAATCTTGCAGACGTTTTGAAGTTTTGTAAGCATGGTAACTTTTAATCGAAATATATCTGTTCATCAACCCCGAAAAATTGAATAATAAAATGTGCAAAATATGATCAATCTATACTTGTAATTTATCATTGCATTCATATTTTTTATATTTGCTTATACAGGGTGAGTCAAAAAAATTAATAAATCAATCAATTTATTTTATTCAATAAATCAAGAATTGCATAACTGAATGCTTTGAAATCTTGCAGGCGTTTCAAAGTCATTGTAGGCATGGTAAATTGCTAATCAAAATAAATCTGTTTATTCCCCCCAAAAAATTGATGACGTTATCTCAAAATTTTCCCGAATAAATTGTACCCAAAATGGGGCTTTCATAAACTGGGCACTTTTTTAATCCGCAGCGTCATTATCTGTTCAGGTACCTAAAGTTTGTCTAGAATTATAACAATTTTATGGACTCCCAGAGTTAATTCGTTTTACAGCCCTTTTCGAACCCAGTTTTTTCAAGAAATTTGCACCTGCCTGCCAGACTGCGCGGCGCGGGGCGAACTTGAGTGCAGGTAACATCCCTTGGCAGGCTCTTTAGCTGTACAATAAAACTGACGAAAACTTTGAGAGTCCATGAAATTCTTATAATTCTAGACAAACTTTATAATACTTACTGCAACTGCGCACCACCATGTGGATCAGGTAAATCCTTCGTAACGACTTCTTAGTAATTACCATTTCGAAATGTTTATCGCACTCCCAAACAACCAATGGCGGTCAGGACAGGTAGGTATGTACCACCACCATTTTGTATCTTTTAAAACTCAACTTTGAATAATTTTGAACGAGTTTCGACTAAATTCTTATATAAAATTACGAAATGTGAACGAAAAAGTCAGAGTAAAAGATGTATACCCTAGAAGGAAGCAACAATTTGTTTAATGTAAAATAAATGAGTATACTAACCGATGTACTGATAGATTGCATTATGTAAAATGTTAAGGTTATGAAAATAAACACAAATAAAAAATGCTTTATGTTTTTCATTTACTACAGAAATTGAAGATTACCAACAATCGCTTTAAAGTACACTGTTAATTACCGACTCAGTGGACAATTTAGGAACCAGAGTTAGGGGCGATCCTCAAGTCGGTGCGCAGTTTAGGACCACCGCAAAAACTCCCTTGTAACAAACGGTTAGCACGTTTCTTTACCTTTACTCAAATATTAGATGGTTGCCATTAAAAACAATAAAATTTGCAAAATCAAATCTTTTAAGTAGTTTTTCGAAAGAGCTAGATTTGACAAGCTGTACTTTATGGGCGAGGGAGGTTCAGTCGAAGTAATCTTTGACCAACTTTTTATATGAACCGTCCAACGCTGTAAACTTCTCCACTTACCCCGACATCTCCCTTGCGTAATATAGGACACTACTTAAGTTAACGTTCAATTTGCGGAAACAAAGACTAAGTACACACACACACTTATTATAACTTCATCAAATTTGTATTCACTATCGTCACACCAGTGTTCACTCGACAAACGACAAGAAGAAAATGATTCAAGTGTTCAACGTCAAGTACTGCCATATCGTCTTTACCTTCCAGTAACGAGTCCTTCTGAGAATGAAAGTGAAGTTTGTCAGTTCGACCACCAATCAGACTTTATCCTTTTAGCTATAACCCAACGGATTAGGACTACCGGTCAGTTCGACCACCACTGATAATTAGGGTTGGAGGTGGCGACTACCTGAAAGTTGGCAGTAGGCGGGCGGTAGGTACTAGATGTATACAGTGCATCTTTTTTAAAAGTGGCCATAGGGATTCCCATGTTAAATTTTAGACCCCATGTTAACTTTTGTTAGGGTGAAAACCCGGAGATGATTTTTGCGGAGAAAATAGCCTTAGGGTTCTATTTTAACTTCTACTACAACTTTTTACAGTAATTTGTTAATTTGTGCTTTAAAAAATTAAAATTCTTTTGATTAAAAAATTTTGGTACATCATAGAAGGTTTTGACTTATCATTTTAACAGCATAATTTTAATTTATCATTAAATGCCTTTATTGCAGTTTTTAGAAATGAAACAGAATGATGGAATTCGAACATAAATAAAAAAAATAAAAGATACCTAATTTCACTGAAATTTCGTTTTCAATGTCCACAATCGAAAAATCCAGTGTTTATAACTCTGCCATAAAATTTACAAAATGTGCTCTTGCCGGGTCTGGAACGATGTGGGAATGCTGCAGCAAGATTTTGTGCAGTTTTTCTGTTGTCGATAAGGCTTTAATGTATCCATCAGTGACCATTTGTACTTTTTCTTTAATTGTGTACTGCGGCATGTTGATAAATTTCGGTCACTAAAAACCAATAATCGAACGAGTAATCAAAGTTTAGAAACGTCACGTAAATGTCTGTTTTTACACAACTGTCTACAAAAGTATTCAAATATTTTATTTTTTTTTAAAGGAATATCTTTGAATTTAAAACATGACCTTTAATAAAATCGACGAAAGATAACCCAAATTACATCCAGTAAAAATTTCAATTCTGAAGCTTTACTCAAACATAAGTTAACATGGGGTATAAAATTTAACATGGGAATCCCTATGGCCACTTTTAAAAAAGATGCACTGTATAAATTGTCGTAAATACAATTATTGAATTTAGTTTCCTGTTTATTGAAGTTTCTCTAAACTGTGTGCAAGTTCTTCTTAGTTAGTTTTTGTTGTTTGTTTATCACTCTTTGCTGTTAACGCGATGGCAGACTCAAAAGTTCAAGCAGAAACTATGTACACCGAAAAGAGGAATATCATGTTAATATGTGATGGTTTTAAATTCTCCAAAGCCCACACCAGTAAAAACGGCATAATTAGGTGGAGGTGTTACATAAGAACGTGCGGGGCAAAAATATATAGTAATGTTTGTGATGAAACTGCAATCGTAGACAAAGCTGGTCTACCTACATAATCATCAACAATGTGAAAATCTCAGCAGACAAGTCGTTAGTAATTATATCAAAAGGAAGGCCATAGAGGATCCAACAGAAAAACCTGCTAAACTAATTCATCGGGAGTTAAAAGAAAATACATTTAGTGACGACATCGATACCCGTGATATTGAATGCATGAGAAGAAATGCATACATCGCACAAAATTTTCGTTAAGATCCATCTTGACAACTCCTTCCCGACCAACTGGACTGCGGCAAATTTACAAGGGTCCGCGGTTAAGCTATGATAAAAATTAGTGAAAGTCAAAAGACACTGGAGGTCGAATCATCACAATATTTCTAGTTATGCTACACCACTAGTGGGGGCCAGAATGTTAGAATCGGGGTTAAATTCCTCTTAAAGGTTTTACTAAGGCAACAAATGTTTATTTACAAAAAAAAGCCGGGCGTTTTATCTTGGGGAAAGCCAACGCATCCTCAAAAAGGGCGTAGTCGTTGGGGTTGTGGAGATTCCAGTGGCGTGACTAATAAAAGGGTGAGTACTCTTGTATTGTATAATTCTATACTACATGTTTTCGGACAACAAATCAGAGGAGAGTGACTAATTTGTTTTTTATCGGGACTTTTGAATAATCGTTCGTTTTCATCTTCAAGCAATTGCTTTATATCTTTTAAAGTATTCTTTTCCATCTTTTGAAAATAATTGAAAAGGTTGAACACAAATTCACGTGCTCGAGCATTTCACTTTTATACTTGAGGCCATGTTTCCAGTGTAACTACCATCAAGTAAGTTGCTTCTTAGAAATATACATAAACTAATCGTTTGCCCTTTTCTCGTGTTTATTAATTTTTCGTGGAACGGATTAAAGCTTGAGTTGTCCTATACAATTTTACCTGCTTTCTTAAACCGTCCGCAATGGTTCTCTGTGAGGCCAATGACTCATTTTGAAACGTTGGTAAAATGTTTGTGCGCATCCCAAGTTCTCGCCAAGAGAAAAATGCTAATTTTTAAGTTACCATTAGAAATAATTGAAAACCTAAACAAAAAATTAAAGACAAAAAAAATGGTCCAATTTTATTTCGACAGTATTTTCTTCGCGTCTGAATTACAAATTATACAATTAGATTTTGCGATGTTCTGAATATTATTATTACTATATTAAATAAAGACGTGTGTATTCTCACATTTTCGAAAAAACGTTATGAACCGTTCTTAATTTGATCGAAGGTTGCTTCGCCAGAACTTGGCTCGCCCCTGATGTACAATGAAACATATCCAACATTTTCGAAAAATTATAAAATTTGATTTTGAGAACTTTATATTTTTATAAGAACTCACCTATAAGTTGAAATAATAATATAT